CCTCTAGGGCCCTCCCCTGCTTCCTGCAGGTGTCTGGGGCTGCGGAGGCCCTGCGGGCAGGGCCATGACCCTTACAGCAATGGTGGCTGGCCCTGTCACAGCTAATGACCCTGATGGCCCAGGCTGGGGGGGAAGAGGCACACAGAGCAGAAAGGCTGTGTGTGTGTGTGTGTGTGTGTGTGTGTGTGTGTGTAAAGGAAGGGAGGGAGGGTCTGCTTGTGTCAGGGTGTGAGGTGGGGAGCTGGGGCCTCACCCACCGTTCTGCTCCCCCAGCCTACCAGACCGTGTGCAGCGTCAACGGGCCGCTAGTGGTGCTGGACCAGGTCAAGGTAAGACCTTCTGGCTCACCCCACCTCTTGGAAGGAGTTCCCATCCATAGGATTTGTTAAAAACTGCCTCCCCTCCCCCACCCCAGCCAAAGAGCTCCCCAGGTCTGCCCTGCTATCTCGAACCCCCCATCACTCCCACATTCTCCTCTCCTCACTAACGGTCTCCTAGCTGCTCTCGCTCTCCTTTCCCCTCCGCCCACTGTGGGCCTCAGACACAACGTGGCACCTGGGCCAGCTGGGCCTCCTCTTCGCCATCAGCAGGAAGGCTGTGGACCCCCTGTGAGGCTGAACTCTCCCTGCCCAGGACTCTTCAGGAAGCAGCTAACATTTCCAAGGCCCTCTGGTGCCAGCCACCGAGAGGGAGGGGAAGGAGGTGTCACAGAGGGGATGGGCCTTGGGATGTGGGGTGCTCTCTGTAGGGAGGGCCCCGACAGCCCCCCGGGACTGGGAATTCTTGGGCCACAAAGGCATGGGGTCACCCTGCTGGCCTCTCCGACACCAACCTCTTTCAGCCTCCGACACCCGTCTTGGTTCTCCGGAGCTGACTGAAATGGTGGCTTCAGCAAACCGGGCGCTCGGTTCGCGAGGAGGCTCGATGCCTTAGGGGAAACTTCCTCTCTCCCGGAGCTCTGGAGAAAGGTCTGGGTCTCTGTACAAGTCAGCTCTGGGGGAAGCTCCCCGCCTTTTTCTCCATCCCTTCCCCCACCACCCAGGAGCTGCTTTAGTTCCTGGCTTCTTTCATCTCTTTTATATTTTAAAGGAGAAAACTCAAGACACACCCTACACAGATCCTGTGCATTAACCCAACAAGCCCGTTCCCAAGTGTGATTACAGCCCCAGACCTAGGGGTCAGGGTTTAAAATGCCCTCATTTGGAGGGTGGGGGTGGGGGCACAGCTTAATCCGGCAGTTCTCAACCTGTGGGTCGAGACCCCTTTGGAGGTCGAACGACCTTCTCACGGGGGTCGCCCGATTCATCACAGTAGCAAAATGACAGTGATGAAGTAGCAACGAAAATAATGTTATGGCTGGGGCGGAGGGGGAGGGATCACCACAACATGAGGAACTGTATTAAAGGGTCGCGGCATTAGGAAGGTTGAAAAGCACTGATATTTTAATCCATAACACCCTCCCAGCGAGGCAAACAGGGAACCTCTTTTCCTGGCCCTCCCTGTTCTGTTCGATCAGGTCTCTCACCCCTCCCTTGCTCTATCCAACCTGCAGCCCTGGCCTCTTGCCACTACTGTTTCACACTCAGGTCCGGTGTCTGCAGTTTATTTCTTCTTCTTCTTTGAGACCAGTTATCAACGACTCTTCCAGTTGCCCGGCAAAGGACATCATCTTTGTCCTGTCGAGTGGCTGCTGGGTTTGAACAGTGGGGTTAGCAGCCTAGCGCCAAACCAGCAGTGCCAGGAGAGCCTCCCTCAAAATGGTCGTTTTTGACCTCCCAGCCACCTGGTTTGTTCTTGCACCTGTCGCCTGGTTTCTTTGGGGTCTGCTCTGTCCTGGGCACTGTCCACCACAGTGTCCCCTGGGATGAGCATCCTGCCATCCTCCCCAGAGACGGAGTGAAGGAGGCTGCTGGCCCGTTCAGGTAGCTCAGTGGTTCTCAACCTTCCTCGTGCTGCGACCCTTGAATCCAGTTCCTCATGTGGTGGGGACTCCCCCGACCATAAAATTATTTTCGTCACTACTTCACTGTCATTTTGCTCCTGTTATGAATCGTCACGTAAATATCTGATAGGCAGGATGTGTTTTCACAGCTACAAATTGAACATAATGAAAGCATAGCGATTCATCACAAAACAATATGCAATTATATATTGTGAGATATTTATGTTTTCCGATGGTTTCACCCCTGTGAAAGGATTGTTTGACCCTCCCAAAGGGGTCGCGACCCCCAGGTTGAGAACCACCTAAGAGACACAGGACCCCCACCCACCCCTGCTCTCCTTCTCCCTGCTCTTCCGCGCCCTCTCGTGGCTTCCAACCGCGCTGCACCCTCCTCTGCGCCCAA